CACCTAGTCATACAATACCAAACATTTGTCCCTACATCACCATTCACTTTTATCCACCTAGTCTTACAATAACAAACATTTGTCCCTACATTATCATTCACTTTTATCCACCTAGTCTTACAATAACAAACATTTGTCCCTACATCACCATTCACTTTTATCCACCTAGTCATACAATACCAAACATTTGTCCCTACATCACCATGTAGGGACAAATGTTTGTTATTGTAAGACTAGGTGGATAAAAGTGAATCACCATTCACTTTTATCCACCTAGTCATTCCCTACATCACCATTCACTTTTATCCACCTAGTCATACAATAACAAACATTTGTCCCTACATCACCATTCACTTTTATCCACCTAGTCATACAATAACAAACATTTGTCCCTACATCATCTTGTCTGTTTCTTTCCACCTACCACTACATCATCTCTCAGTTTCTCTACAACTAGTCACATTATAACAATAAATCAGCAACCTACCACAACATCATCTGTCAGTTTTTCTCCTGGCATAATGAGTAGAAGTCCCTCCAGGTAGTCAGGAGCAACTTGGTTGAATATGACCTCAATATACAGTTGACTATCCAGTCGTAAAGGATAGTACCAAACAGAACGACAGAAAATTAGGTAGAATACTTGACCACTCTTCAGTAGTTCTGTTGTCACATCCAAGATGTACTCTTCTCGGTTCAAAGGCATTGTGTAAGGATCTATTGGAATAAACAGTTCAGTTGGCAGTAAATGATGCAGTTGAAACAAATCTTACAATGATATGTGTCATCAGTTTTCAACAGTCATATACAAGGATCATTTGTTTATGTTAAACAACTGTTTATGTTTAAAGAAGGAATCAAGTAGGTAAATCCTACAGTTATTCATATCACTCAGTTTTCAACAATCATACACAAGGATCATTTGTTTCTGTTAAACAACTGTTTATGTTTGAAGAAGGAATGAAGTAGGTAAATCCTACAGTTATTCAGATCACTCAGTTTTCAACAATCATATACAAGGATCATTTGTTTCTGTTAAACAACTGTTTATGTTTGAAGAAGGAATCAAGTAGGTAAATCCTACAGTTATTCATATCACTCAGTTTTCAACAATCATATACAAGGATCATTTGTTTCTGTTAAACAACTGTTTATGTTTGAAGAAGGAATCAAGTAGGTAAATCCTACAGTTATTCAGATCACTCAGTTTTCAACAATCATACACAAGGATCATTTGTTTCTTCATTTACAAAACAACTGTAGTTGTGACTTAACACTTATTATTAATACAGATTTAGTAAGAATCATCAACTTACATTATTTCTGAGTATATGCAAAAAACGGAAATTTCTATATAGCTACAGCATATATTAGAAACTACCATCCTAAAATCCCAGGCTTTACTTAGCAACACTGAAGCTCCTACTTCTTATTATTACAATTCACAAAAATAAAGGTTACCAACAAAATATATAACAGAAACAATGGTACAGACCAATAGCACAATACAGTCTTACTTCCTTCGACAATACAATATAAAGAGAACTAACAAAATATAATAGAAAGAATGGTACAGACCTATAGCACAATACAGACTTACCTCCTTCGACAATATAAAGAGAACTAACAAAATATATATTAGAAACAATGGTAAAGACCAATAGTACAATACAGACTTACCTCCTTCAACAATACAATATAAAGAGAACTAACAAAATATATATAGAAACAATGGTACAGACCTATAGCACAATACAGACTTACTTCCTTTGACAATACAATATAAAGAGAACTAACAAAATATATAATAGAAACAATGGTACAGACCTATAGTACAATACAAACTTACCTCCTTCGACAATACAATATAAAGAGAACTCCTCCATCTCAAGTTTGTTGTGAACACCAAGAACCTCACAGATTTCCTGGATAATATCTTGCACTACTGTGGTGGACTTGGTGTTGATAACTCGCTCAGTTCCACCTGGAAGTCTGTAGATCTGTCGTTTAGAGTTCCTTCCCACCTGAAGAGGAAATACTTATGTTAGTCTACTTCAGTACTGAACATTTTGCTCAGGTCCAATAAATAAAGTTATTGTACTAAACTAAATGTTAGAACTATATATACTATTCCAAGCTAAATATCTACTTCAAATACTTGAGACAAGTTAAAGCATAAAAGAATCCATCTTGAAAATGAGGATTAGCCTTTCAACTATATTGTAGTAACTATTTTTGACTCTACATTATATTTACTGTGAATAAACTGAACTGAACTGCATATTTTCAATTAAAACCTTGGTTCTTGTGTTCAGACATTACATATAATGGCTTGTGTTATCTGTATTAAGACATTTACCTAATTTTACTTATACATTTATTACGGCAAACAATGGATAATAAAAGCAGTAAATTTACACACAGCTAAGACTAGTTGACAAACAAGACAAGAGGATACGGATGGCTCCTATCACGTTTACACACAGCTAAGACTAGTTGACAAGTAAAGAGACAGAAATGGCTACTATCATGTTTACACACAGCTAAGA